ACATGCTATGATGAGAATTAACCATACTATGCTAAGTGAAAGAGGCCAGACATAAATCACTACAAATTCTATGATTTTATTTCTATAAAATATCCAGAATAGGTAAATCCATAGAGAGAGAACACAGATTGGTGATGGCGAGGGGGTGGGGATAAGGAGGAACAGAAGGTGATTGCTTAATTGGTATAGAATTTTCTTTTGTGATAAAAATGTTTGGATATAATCAGAGGAGGTACTTTCACATTATGAATGTACTGAACACCAATGAATTATATACTTTAAAATGGTTAAATTTATGTTATGTAAATTTCACCTCATTTTTTTTTTAAGTTAGGAAAAAAGGAAGCAATTAGTGAACTACAAACTATGAAAAAAAGAAAAGGGAAAAACCTAAGTTTACCTAAGAACACTCACAAGAAAACAGTGCATCGGGAGGAATAAAAACTATAATCAATATTTGGCCCCTAATTACTAAATTTAATGAAGCCATCAACACTACAGGGACAGGATAAATGTATGCATATTGGGCAGGAGAGGCCAAGATTTCAAGTTGCTAAAATGTAGATACAGCTCTAAGGGAAAAAAGGAGGAGGCATCAAACTATTCGAAAAGAGTTGGCTGTAGGAGAAGGAAATGGAATAGGGGTATAAAGTTCCTTTTTTATTTTCAAATAAAGAATTCCAGAGTGATTTGGTGCTTTAACAAAAAAGACAGTAACAAGTGTTGGTAAGGTTGTGTAGAAACTGGAACCCTCATACACTGCTGGAGGGAATGTAAAACAGTATAGCCAATATGGAAAACAGTTTGGTAGTTCTTCAAAAAGTTAAGAGTTAACATATGACCCAGCAATTCTATTCCAAAGTATATACACAAGAGAATTGAAAACACATGTTCACACAAAAACTTGTAAATGAATGTTCACAGCAGCATTATTGATAATAGCCAAAAAGTGGAAACCACCCAAATGTCCATCAATTGATGAATGGATAAACTATGCATATCTATACAATAGATATTATTCATTCATAAAAATGAACGAAGTACTAATATATGCTATAGCATTGACGAGCCTAAAAAACATTATGTTGAGCAAAAGAAGCCAGACACAAAAGACCACATATTGTATGATTCCATTTATATGAAATGTCCACAAAAGGCAAACCATGAGAGACAGAAAGTAGATTAGTTTGCCAGGGGACGGGGGAAGGCAAAATGGTGGAGTGAATGCTAACAAGTACAAAGTTTCTTTTTTGTTTCAATGAAAATGTTCTGGAATTAGATAGTGGTGATGGTTGCACAACCTTGTGAATATACTAAAAACCACTAAATTGTACACTTTACAATGATGACTTCTATGTTACGTGAATTATATTTCAACTTTTTATTTTTTTATTTTTTGGCAGCTGGCCTGTATGGGGATCTGAACCCTTGACCTTGGTGTTACAAGGTTGCCCTCTAAACAACTGAACTAACCAGTCAGCACCCCCAATTTTTTAACATTAATAAAAAAAGTTGGTTTGCAAATTGGTCATTAAAACCCATATTTGGGGCCGGCCCGGTGGCGCAATGGATGGTGCGCCGCTTGGGAAGTGCGGCGGCGCTCCCGCCCGAGGGTTCGGATCCCACATACAGACCGGTTCCTGCTCACTGGCTGAGCGAGGCGCGGGAGCAACGCCGAGGGCCGCAATCCCGTTGCCGGTCCCCGGTCCGGTACGGGGGCAACACTGAGGGTTGCGATCCGTTGCCGGACACGGAAAAAGACAAAAAAAAAAAAACCCATATTTGTTTTCCTTTTACATTTGCCTGAGTGCTGAAATCACTGAAATAAAAGGCAAAGTGAAAAGTGCATTACTAGCAATGCTAAACCAGAGTCTCAGATTAATGTCATCTGCACTGGGATGCCTATGCTGGGTGGTGGTGTGGATTACATACCTGGAGAGCTCCCCCAATTCTCAATTTAAGAAATAGTGATTAAATTTCCCAAGCTGAGTCACAAAAGTTGTTTTAAGTCTTATCACCTTCTCCACTTGCAAAGTACACCATGGTCTAAAAAGTGTCAACCTTCTCTCTCCCCATTCTCTGTTCTTTCCACACAGAAATCCAACTACAGAAAAAGAAAGTAATTTATCTAGCTAAATCATTAAAAATGTGAATGACAGCTTTAAAACATGATGTCCTCTCCTCAATTCTTCCAACTCCCTAGCCCCCAAATAAGTATTATTTGGGCAATTTAAGAAATGAGTTTAAAACATTTAGGGAATGGCAAAGGTTGCCTTGGAAGTGATATTTTGAAGCACGAATGCCACCAAAATCAACTTGGTACTGGACGGTGGTATGCCTTTAGACTCAGTTTCCCAAATTATTCCTGCTTTTTCCAATATCAAGCATTTCAAAATTCAAAGATTCACTAATATACTTCTCAAATTAGGATTTATGAACCATCTGCATCAGAATCACCTATGGTGCCTTACCCACCCACAGACTTATAAAATCAAAATCTCTGGAGATGGGATCAAGAAAATTTATTTTCAAAATGATTCTCATACACACTCATGTTTGAGAATCACTGTTCTAAAAAGTTCAACAAGATAGGATCTGCAGCCATTTAAGTATAGGTAATGTGTAAGAATAGAAACTGTACCTGTATTATGAAGACATGCTCACTGCAACTGAAAAGTCTACTAGTCAGAACTAAGCACAGAACACTTATGTCTGGAACTCACTCACTGTACACAACGCCATTAAAATTAATGTGAGGTGTGTGCTGTATATATGTTACACAACATCAAAGAGTAAGAATGGCATAGATGACAAAGTAGTGGTCTACTAACACTCAGAGCAAGCAGAAAATTTTTTTTTCTACACATTGAGGAAAATATAGGAAAAAGAAAGTCTCTTTATTTCTTCTATAAGTGAATAATAAAGGATTGAATTTCAGCTAATAAGGACGCAGACAGAGATAATCCTCATTAAAGCAAGTCAAAAAACTGATCCTTGGGCCGGACGGTGGCTCACTTGGGAGAGTGCGGTGCTGATAGCACCAAGGCCACAGGTTCGGATCCTATATAGGGATGGCCGGTTCGCTCACTGGCTGAGTGTGGTGCTGACAACACCAAGCCAAGGGTTAAGATCCCCTTACCGGTCATCTTTATATAGGGGGGATAAAAATGATCCTTAAGAAATTTCTAACATCAACACGCAAATGTGGCATATAACTGTCACTACTAGGATGGTTTTTGTTAGCACATGCTAATGGCTTTCAGAAGGATGGGATCTTTTCTCCCCTGCCCCTATCGATTTTGCCAACTAACAGGTTTACTGGCTGAAATAAACTCTATTTTGTGTAAGAAAAATCCTTCTTGATTTTGAACTATTTATGCTGACACACAATAGCCCTGATTCTTTTAGTGCTTCATGCTTTAAAAGCACTGAAAATCTCTTTTTAAAGTACATGAAAAGTTTATGGTCTGCAGCTAAGCAACACTTTCGAATTACTACCAAATAAGATTTAATTTATATCATCTCCTCTAATTTTGTTTACAAAGACAGATCAGTATTGATGATAAAAAGTTCCAGTGTTTTAAAATACAATTTAGTTACAGTGAGCAATATTCATTTATTCAAAATATTTATAGAGCACCTACTGCACTGCACACCCCAGACTGAACAAATATGCTCAATGAAAGTACTGCTTGTGATTTACTGTTTGACAATTCAGAGTCTCCAATCATTACAAATAATAAGTGTTATAAATACTAGAATATGTAGGCAGAATTGAGCAGAATCTGTATCAATCCTATAGCAAACCAAGGAAGTTTGTTTCTAAAATAATTTTTATTACTTTATTTAACCCCCCCCCAAAAAAAGTATGGGATGTCTGCGGTTTCCAAGGTTCGAAATATTTGGATATCCTCTAATATTGTGAACATTAAGTTCCTTCTCATAATATTTATACCCTACACTTTCATTTTATAGCAAGATGTAGCGATGCACCTCATGGAAAATAATGTAAAACAGTCAGCTTCTCAACAGAAAAGATACAATTTAGAAATGAAAGCACTTAAAATCGGTATACCTATATTAAGTAATCTCTAAAATGCGTTTGCCCGATCTCTAATAAAAGTGCTATGATTCCTCTTTGGTCAAGAAAAGCAAGCAAGCAGAGAAAATGAAATTTATACCTCTCCTTTGTCATTCTAGAAATAACATTTATTTCTCAACATTTATTCATATAAAAAATTATGACTTGTCTGTAAGAGAGCCAACATGAAAAGACCAGAAAACTTGATGCCCAATTTAGGTCACGATCACAGAACTGTGAAAGACAAAAATTACAGCCTACGCAGAAAAATTGGATATTCCTTCCTAACAGCCACAGAACTCCAGGTACATGTGGGAATTTTTTTTTTTTTTTTTAAACACTGCTTCTGCCTTCTCGAGACCTGCAGGGGTTACACTGCAGGAAAACACTCAGACGCTACACAGTAGCGGGCTCAGGGTCGACGTCGCAGTCCCAAAACTTACTCTACAGTCCCTGAGCAAAGCGAGGAGAGAAATAAAACACCCCGCCTCCCCGAAGCCAACTGAGACCCGGATAGCGAGCCCACCACGAGCCCGGAGCGGCCCCGCGTGCCCCGCGCGTCCCCCAGGTGCCCTTGGAAACAGCGGCCCGCGGACGAAGCCGCGCCCGGTCCCACAGGACTCCCAGTTCCGCCATCCGACCCGTCCTTCCCCTAAACCGCCCCTGGGACCCGCTGGGCCCGCCGGGCCCGCAGTGCCGACTCCTCCCCTCGCCGCCCTGCTGGGCTCCGGATTCTCCGCCCGGCTGCAACGCAGCCCCGGCCAGGCGGGCGCGGCAGACCCGGGAAAGCCCCGAGGCCCCTAGCAGGACCCTCCTCCCACGGGCCGCAAAGGCTGGCCCGGGAGTGTGCACTGCCGCAGCCCCGACCAGGCCCGCGTCCGGGGATCCGGCCTGGGCGAACGCCGCCCTCGTCTCTCACCTGCGTTCCCACTACGACAATTTGAGGCAGCTGGATGATGTCGGCGCCCACCGTGTTGAAGACGTCCTGGAGCTTGTTGATGACAGGAATTAGCGCCTCCATAACTCCGAAAACAAGGGACCCCCGCCCGGCCAGCCGCAGCAATGAATGGGGCCGAAGCCCAGAGTCCACCTCCTTCCTTCTCTCCTCCGCCCTCTCCTGGAGAGCCCGCACCCATTGGACCCTGCCTGCCCGCTACCTGCCCCTCCCGGCAGGCCATGCGCTACGAGGGAAATGGAGAGAAACAAAGCTTGCCGGGAGTTGTAGTTCCGGCACGGAGGAGCGCTGGAGCCTACCACTTCCAGAAGGCTGCGCGGCATGGGCGGGCCCTGAGCCTGGAGCGCGGGGGTCCCGAGGCGGGGATGCTCTCTGGCTCGTGACTGAAGGCTAGAGAGCGAGGCCCCGAGAGCAGGAGGGAGGAAGTATATTCATGCCTGTCCTCGAGGCATGCAGGACGTGGAAAATGCTGGGTGTGAATATGTCTTAAGTACAGCGATGTCTCTCTTATCCAGAGTGTCATTTCTTAAGAGGACGCTTTCTCAAGAAGGATGGATTGGAAAGGCTTAAAGAATAGTTTATGGCCACAGACACCCCAACCGGGTGCAAAAGGTTGGTACGCTGATGCTAGAATGTGTGGAGTGCTATTTTGCAAAAATACAGCCCAGGTAGAACACGCGGTTCTCCAGAGTTTTTGTAAAAAAAAAAAAAAAATATATATATATATATATATATATATGTTTAGGAAAGTCTTAGAGTGTTGAAGTTTTTAGAGGGGAAGAGCTAGGCCTTTATTCTCTATATTCTGTATAATTCTTTATTTGCTGTGGCCTGGTAAAGTCGAGATCTTATAACTGCCTTACTTGCTTTTTGCTAAATGTGCCTACTGTCCTGTTCCTAAATGTTTTCTTTTTAGACAGGTGGTATCTCTCCTCTACTCCAAACCTCCAAATGTTTTCTATCTTAAAGTAAAAAAGGTGACATTTGAGCAAAGGCCTGAAGCAGGTGAGGAGAAAGCCCCCTTCCATACTTTATTTTTCTCCATAGAACTTATCTCTTTCTAACATGAACATGTTTGCTTTTTCTCTCCTCTTGCTAGATTATCAGCTCCTAGAGGACAGAGATTTTTGACTCTGTGAATCACTGATGCATCCTTAGAAAGTGACAATCAAGATAGTCACAATCTCAGCCTCCTCTGAGTTTACAATATAACACAGGAGACACTACTATTGAAAGATACACAGAAGAGACACAACACAGGTGATGACACTACTATTGAAAAAAAAATGAATAAGGTACTATGATTGGGTATATTTTGGAGTTCATTTAGTAGGAGCACTTCTTCCAGTCTGAGGGGGAGGAGTGAAAGTTCAAGTGAGACTTTCTAGAAAGTACTAGATTTAATGTCCATGAGGGCAAGTACCTCCTACAGTAGAAGTAGTACACTATGCAACTTCACTGGGTACTATTCAGCTGCACATCTGTACACAGTAGCCCAGGGGAACATGCTTGATTTGTTCAGCAGGACAAATGGTACGTGCTTAATAAATATTTTTGAACAAATGAATGAAATACTCAAAGACCTGAAGATTCAATAGTGGTATTTTAGTATCTTGTCAAGATTTGTGAACATCCGCTTCTCTTTGATTCTTTTTATTTTTTATTTTTTTTATTTTTTTTTATTTTTTTTGTCTTTTGTCTTTTTTCCGTGTCCGGCAACGGATCGCAACCCTCAGTGCCGCCCCCGCACCAGACCGGGGACCGGCAACGGGATCGCAAACGTCGGCGCCGCTCCCGCGCCTCGCTCAGCCAGTGAGCGGGAACCAGTCTGTATGTGGGATCTGAACCCTCGGGCGGGAGCGCCGCCGCGCTTCCCAAGCGGCGCACCATCCAGTGCGCCACCGGGCCGGCCCTGATTCTTTTTAAAAATAAAAACTTCAGAGACAAAACTTCAGAGGTAAAGCAAGACAAAAATTTCAGAACTCAAAAAACCAGAGAGCAAAGGGTTTTACTCCAAGTCCCTTTATTTTCTACCAAAGATAATATTACAGGATAGACAGATATTAGCCACTTTGCTTCTCAGCCCTCTGTTGATGAGGCTTTCGTTCTCTTCTGAAAAGAAAAGAAAATTCTGAGCAGCCTCTACATCCAACAAGAAAAGGCATATAAAAAGAGGGAGTGGGCTCATGGTGAAGCTCCATGGACATAACCAGTTACTGCTTTAAAGGCTCGAGATGCCCTAGGCGAAAATTATGTGACTACAACTGTTTTTTCCCTATTTGTGACACCAATAGACATAGTCTTTTCTTATTTGCTAATGGCAAAGTTAGAAGAACAAGCACACATATGTTCTAGACAGCAAACTGTTATGAATACATATATTTCTATTTAAATTATAAATTATCTCTTGGGATGGAACATCCAGAGCCTTGTATTAACATGCATCTTTTTCTAGGGGAAGGAAGAATGATCACATGGGTAGTACTCAAAAGTCTTTTATCATTACCACCACCAATCAGGTTTAAGTAGAATTGTGCAATAGCTGTCTACACTCTAGAGCATTGAGTTAATCAGGCACAGAGGAAGAGAAAGAGGAAATGATAAGGCCTTGAAAAACAGTGGCTCTAATATGATAACTTTTATTTTAAACTTGAGGCAGAATACACTGTGCGCAATGTGTTTAATTGAGGGGAAACAAAGCAAACCAATTTGGGTCTTCACATTTTAAGTTCAGAACGCTCTTGCTTGTGGGAAAGCCATTTAGCCAATAAGTATTTCTTTCCTCAACTCAAATAGGATAATATGTTCCTCAGTGTGTTGCTCTGGAATAACATTAAAAGCCATTATCAAGTATTATCTCAAAAGGCCGTTTTAGAAACACTTCTCCTTCAGCCATCCCTCTGTCTCTATAGTTTTATGATTAGGCTGGATAGTTTGGTTGCAAGTGACAGAAATTTAACTCAAACTAACTGGCCTCAAAAACGACTAGAACCAGAGGCTCAGGCAGCATCTGAACTCTTTCTACCTCTTACATCTGCTTCTCTCTGCATCATCTATTTCATTTTCTCAAACCAGTTTATTCCTGTGGGATGAGGTGAGTGGGCCATGTTGGAGACTGTAGGGGATCTCATTCAGCAAGCTGCCTCGGGGCAGATGGTGCTGTTGAATCTGGGGAGGAACTGAAACTAGGTTTTCACCTTGTTTCCAAAGTATTAGTTTCCTATCAGTTTCCTATTGATAGAATATTAGTTTCCTATTGATGCCCTAAATTTCAAACCTTAGTGGCTTAAAACAAAAAAAAATTTTTTTTGTTATTTTTTTTTTTACTGTATCTGTGGACTAGAATTTTTTTTATTGATTATATATATTTGTGCGGTACAGAATTGAATATCAATTCATGTGTACAATATGTGGTGATCAAATCAGGGTAATTAGTACACTCATATTTACAAAACGTCATCAGTCTTTGTGACCCTTAACTAGTTTTTCGTCAATCTCCCTCCCCCTCCCCCTTTGCCACCTCTAATAACCACAGTTCTGTTTTGTTTTGGTTTTTTTTTTTGAAAGTTTAATGTATTGTGATTGTTTCTTTCTTTTAGCTCCTACTTATGAGTGAGGACAGGCAATTTTTTTTTTTTTTTCTGTGCCTGGCTTATTTCACTTAACATAATTTTCTCTAAGTTCATCCATGTTGCTGTGAATGGCAGAATTTCATTCTTTTTTATGGCAGAGTAGTATTCCATTGAGTATATATACCACATTTTCCTTATCCAGTCATCTGTCAATGGACATTTAGGTTGATTCCAACTCTTGGCTATTGTAAATAGAATGCAATAAACGTGGGAGTGCAGGTATTCCTTCGACATGATGATTTCCATTCCTTGGGTATATACCCAGCAATGGGATTGCTGGGTCATATTGCAGTTCTATCTGTGGTTATTTGAGAAATCTTCATACTGTTTTCTATAAGGGCTGCACTAATTTACAGTCCCACCAACAGTGTAGGTGGGATACCCTTTCTTCACATCCTCACCAGTGTTTGTTATTCTCTGTCTTTTTGATAATAGCCAGTCTAACTGGCATGAGATGATATCTCAGTGTCGTTTTGATTTTCATTTCCCTGATGCTGAGTGATGTTAAGCATTTTTTCATGTGTCTGTTGGCCATTTGTGTGTCTTCATATGAGAAATGTCTATTCAGCTCCTTTGACCAAAACAGCATGGAACAGGCATAAAAACAGACACTCTGACCAGTGGAACAGAGAACCCAGAAATCAACCCACATGCTTACAGCCAACTGATCTTTGACAACAGCAACAAGAACATACATTGGGGAAAAGACTGCCTCTTCAATAAGTGGTTCTGGGAAAACTGGATATCCATATGTAGAAAGATGAAACGAGACCTGTACCTCTCACCATATACCAAAATCAACTCGAAATGGATTAAAGACTTGAAACTTTAAAACTCCTAAAAGAAAACATAGGGGAAACACTTCAGGATATAGAACTGGGCAAGGACTTTATGAATATGACCCCAAAAGCACAGCAACAAAAGAAAAAATAAACAAATGGGATTATATAAAACTAAAAACCTTCTGCACAACAGAAGAATTAACAGAGCGAAAAGACAACCTACAGAATGAGAGAAAATATTTGTAAACTATGCATCCGACAAGGGATTAATGTCCAGAGTATACAAAGAACTCAAACAACTCAACAGTAAGAAAACGAGTAACCCAATTTAAAAATGTTCAAAGAATCTGAAAATTTTTTTTATCTCATAGTTCTGTACATAAGAATATGATACAGGTCTGACCGGGCTAAAATCAAGGTGTCATCAGGGCTGCATACCCTTCTGGACCCTCTACAGAGATTTCATCTCCTTGCCTTTTCTGGATTCTGGAGGCCACTCACATTCCTTGCTGGTGTCCTCCTTCCATCACCTTCAAAGCTAGCAATGTCGTATCTTTTTAATCCATCTGTCATCAAACCTTGCTTTGACCAGAGTCAGGAAAGGTTCCCTGCCTTTAAGATACCATGATTAGATTGGCCCACCTGTACCACCCAGAATAATCTCCTCATCTCAAGGACTGTACCCTTAATCATGTCTGCGTCTGCAGAGTCTCTTTTGCCATGTAAAATTTACAGGTTCTGGGATGATGACATGGACATGTTTGAGGAGCCACTGCTCTGCCTATCACACCTGCTTAATAGGGACGGACCTGACCCAAGCAGGACTAGAGTCCTTCCCTGAGAATTTTCTAACTTTTGCTTGAACAGAAATATTTTTTCTCTGTGGTTATCAAACTGTAATGATGTGAGTCACTGTCTTCAGACATCATGTTTCCTACCATATGGAATAAATTGGTTTGAAAGAATAAAATAAACTCCTTTATTCACCTTCGAAAAATTTCTCAAATTCAATAATTGTCCCATATTTCTAAATGTATATATATATAGCACATAATATAGGAATTCTCATCCCCATAGTTAATCACTCCCATCTCTCCACCTTTTACTTGTTGCCCTTTTCATACAATATTATCAAACTCTTATTTATTAAGTGCTTATTTTATGTGAGGCACTATGCTAAGCATTTTATAATAGCCTTGTGGGATAGGTTTACAGATGTGGAAACTGAGGCTCCAGGGATTTATGTAAAGTAGTAAATTTACATAGTATGTGGCAGAGCTGGGGTCAAAACAGGCTATTTGGCAAACTCTTAATCTCTAAATATACTGCCTTGTTTCTTCATTCATTCCCGCATTTATTCAACACATACTTATGAAGTAATTGTTAGGCATATCCATCTTAGCCAGGCACTGTATTTTGCTGGAGGGCAGGGGGGAACTGTGGACATGACAGTAACATGCCCTTCCCCCTTCACCAGTAGTGAACTTGCTAAGGGCAGAAGTATTTTATTTAGCTGGTTTTCCCCACTACCTATTATGATGCTTGTTACAAAATACCAGCCTGCTGGACTTGAGGATTCCTTTTTTTTAACTTGGTAAATCTGGAATAACAATGATTTAAGCAGATCTCAATTGATACAATTGTAACCAGGATTTGCAGTCAAACCCAGCCTATACCTATAAGTCTGGCTTGGCATAGGACTTCTCATCAGACTAGCTGCCAAGTTACTTAGCTAGGGAGTAGGCTGGCTTTGTTCTAACTTAAAATCTCTAGTGAGAGGAAGTTTATTTTGAATTAAATAACTAGAAATTAATAGTTTTTGAAAGAGGTCTTTCAGACTATTCTTATAGCATGGTTCCAATATCATTTATGCCAACATTCTGCTCATCAGTCACAGCCAAGCTGCCATTATCCATGCCTTCAAATCATAGTGGTGAGTGCAGATCTAATGTTAATATGAAATATAC